CCAAACAGTCATTTCAAACAAACATTTCAGCCAGGCTCTCTCCTTCTGCCTCCATGTAGCAGGTGGGCATTGCTTACTTCTGTAGGACCTCTTGAGGGCCAGAGCATGTCCACAATGCCAGGGTGACCACCCAGAGTCCTGCTGGGTTGTGTGAACTAATCCCAAAGGAAACTAAACCAGGACACCTGACAATTGTTCACAAAAATTTCATGGCAGCCCATGCCAAGCTGAGCTTCCCCAGTCTTCCCTCCCACCTGTAAATGACTGGGTGAAGAGAAGCTTTTGGGGTCCTCTGGGTAATAAGCAGGAATGGACCTGCACCCATCCCAGATGAGCTGTGTCCCATGACCAAGATGGCACTGGCCTGGTAACACTGGACTCTTTGTTTCCTAGATTACCAGGAGTGGCTTCTGAAGTAGGAGGAGATTCTGCTGACTCTGGTCCAGGCCCTCGATGCATCCAGCAGTGTTGGTCTCTTCTGCCTACTTCCGAGGTGAGCTGGGCAGGAGCAGAGCAGTCTAGGGACCTCCCATGGATAATGCCCACCTGCTCTTGATCTTCAGCCCAGTGTTCCCTCTCACATTGTGTCCTCCTGGCTTGGATGCATCTAATTTGGTCTTGGTGCTGATGACAGAGACGTCCAGGCATGGTGCTCTTCCTCCACATTCTGCAGAGCATTTCATCCCCAGCTCCCTTAACACACAGACCACCAGCTGCTCTGGCCTCGGGCATTGGCAGCCACAGAGGCTTGGGGAAACCGAGGCAGTTCTCTGCTTGCCTCTTCAGAGCCAAAAGCAGCCTGCCAGGACCCGGAGCTTGTGTTCACCACTCTGCTGACTGCCAGGTCAGAGGAACAGCTGAGCAGTGTTCTGCTGGCCTTCAATACCTTCCTGGAGACACCCAGATTTGTGAACTTTGATGGAAGGAACATCACAGCAGAAAGGTCCTGCCTCAGGGATATGAATGTGCTGGACTTGCCTCCAGGTACTGATGTGTACTAGTTGTTGTTTTAAAATTGTTTTAATATAAAAGTTAGACCTTCTGTGTTAGTCAGTTATAATGGTTTCTTCCATGTACCCCATTTTGTTCCCTCAAATGGTTTATTCCTTGGTTGTTTACCACAAAGTTTTCCCACCACTTGTCTGCCCATCAGTGTGTCAGTCTCCCTGTTCCTCCCCTCATTCCCTTAGAAGCCTTTGTCAATCCCAGTTGTACTGTCCCTTACTCTTGTCAGTCTCTAAAGTCACTCCCCTTGTATTCTCGAATGTTCTGTGTCAGTTAGCCCTGCTTCAATGGCTGATTGGTTTATAAGGCTTCCTCCCTCCCCTGAATGAGCCCTATTGGTTATGTTGAGTGATGTGTTCCTCCCCTAAGATCCCCTCATTGGATGAGAGTTGTATCCACCCCTTGTACCATCCCCTCTTTAAAAATGCTAGTCGGAGCCCTTTTCTCGGTCGCCCGTCTCTGACCCGTGGTGCCGCGGATGAGTCTTCCTTGGATTTAATGCGAGTGATCTCTCCCAGTTTCCTTCATCCTGGTTCCTCGTGCCCGGTTTCCTTGTTGTGCCACCCACACCACAGCTGCTGCAGGGAGCCACAGCGTCCCTGTAAGCACCGCCACCCGCAGAGGCCTCAGGCGAGATCGGGGCGGCCGCTCTCGTGCAGCCCTCTGGCCACGGGAAGTGTGCTGCCGGCCACTTTGTACCCTGTGGCCACGGCGTGCCGCCACACTGAGGATTATTCTGCACGATCGGGGACACTGTGTGTTTCAGGGTGGACATGTGGGTCTGGCTCTCCTAGAAGAGGGAAACACCTTTCCCTCCCTTTCTGCAACCTAGCAAAAATCTCTTACAATTCCATCGGGTCCTGCTGCTTGAGCATGTACTGCTCATTGTCTGAACTAACGGCAAGCCTTGTTGCTACAGCTGGTGTTAACCAGGGTGTTGCCTGGACTCCTCTTCTAAGGACTATAAAGAACACGGATGATGAAGGTGTGAGCCAACATCCTCAGTCCTCTGCTAAATTTTGTCTCATCCCAGCAAGATACTGTGCAACATTTTGTTGTTTCCTTAGAGCTCGGTGCTTAGGCCCATATTTGGGATATCTTTGCTTTCCAGGTGTCCCATTAGAGATACCAGAAGGGGCTCTAGGGCTTTCTGTGTAACTGGCCAACCTATTCATCAATGAGTTGAATGCAGACAACCCCAGGGAAGGAGAGGTTGCAGAATACATTGAATTCTTCTATACTGGACAGACATGCTTCGACCTCCAGGGATACTGGCTGGTCCTCTACAATGGTAAAAGCAGCCGGGCCTACTGGTGTGAGACGGGATCACAGTGTCCTGTACTGCCCCCAACACAAGAGAGATATGGAGCTGTTGGAACAAGTGCAGATGAAATCTCCACAGAGATCCTTTGAGGACTGGAGCCCTTCTCCTGTGAAGACGAGCTCAGAGAGTTGAGGTTGTTCAGCCTGGAGAAGGTTCTGGTCACACCTTAGAGTCCCTTCCATTGTCTAAAGGAGCTCCAAAAAAGCTGGAGAGGGACTTTGGAGAGGGGCTTGGAGGGACAGGACAAGGGGGAATGGCTTTAAGATGAAGGAGGGCAGATTTAGGTTGGGTATTAGGGAGAAATTCTTCCTTGTGAGAGTGGTAAGGCCCTGGCAGAGGTTGCCCAGAGCAGCTGTGGTCTGCCCCATCCCTGGAAGTGTCCAAGGCCAGGTTGGATGGGGCTTGGAGCAACCTGGGACAGTGGAAGGTGTCCTTGCTCATGTGGGACAGGATGGGCTTTAAGATCCCTTCCAACCCAAACCATTTTGTGATTTTGATTATATTCTCTTGTCTCACCAGGGAGCCTCGGGAGGTGTTCAGGTGAATAAGAGGTAATGCTGTGAGCAGCTGTCACTCCACACAAATGAAATTACAGTGTCAGTAGTGGCAACAGATTTTGTGTTTCCCACAGGTGACCATGGGGACACCACTGGGGGAGAACTTGTGCAGCAGCTCCATGGTGCCAGGCCCTCCTGCCGTCTGCATCAGTAAGCTGTGCCTGGCTAGTGGCCATACCCACATCTGCTTCATGGAGCTGGAGGAGAAGCCTGGCACCAGCCTCAGAGGACTCAGCTTGGTCTTCTTCTCAGAGAAGGAGGGGAAGGCACATGCCAGCATCCCTTTGCAGGGCACTGTTGGCGTCATAGGGCTGTTGGTGTTTGTGCTGCATTGGGAACATGGGCATGGTGAGTCCAGTGAAATGGGTCTGATGTGGGGTCTCTCTTCAAACGCACGGGCAGGGGCTTGAGCAGTTTAGAGGAAACAGATGGAGGAGGGTGCACACCATGGGGAACAATTCTGCCTTGCCTTTCCTGTCCTTCATTCCTGTTTTTTCCTCTATTTGTTCTGCCTGGGCTGTTCTGTCATACTCCAGTTGAGAAAGTGATAAATCCTACCCCGTGTCTCTGCTAATGCAGGAGAGTGGCAGGACCAAAAGTTCCTCTTGCTGGTACCAAGACAAGGGGATTTCAGGAGAAGCAGGGCCCACCAGGGCTGTGGGTTGCTCCCTTATGTCATGTTCACTGATGCTCACTGAATCCTGCAGTGGTGCTGCCATCTCCTGATTCTCAGCTGGTGCTTTGTCAGCACATTCTTTTATCTCGTTTACTTTAACGCATTCTTACTCATGTTCACCTTAATTTCTGTCTGGGCTGCATGAAGACAACTGCATCTTGGAGGAACCGCGATCTTTTTGGAAGCACAATCACAGCAAGCAGCTTCCGTGCAGCTTTACTTGGCCCCAGTCATGACCATTACTGTGTTTCTCATTTCTCTTCTTGGAATCCTCCTTGTTGCCAGCTTGTCCTGTCAGGCTCAAAGTTCAACCTAACACTCTCTAGATATTAATCTCATCTATTTCCCTGACATTTCTGGACGAGACAAACCTGACTTCCAATAAAATCTCTGTTACTAGTGAAGGCTTCCGCGCTATAGCTGTGTACAGCACCAGTGGGATTCCTGCTAGCGGGAAGGCAATGCCAGAGAACTTGGTGGATGCCTTGGTTTACACGTGTGAGCCTGGCGCAGCTGGAGAACACTTGAGCTTCCTTGGGCCATCTTAAACTGTGCCCTGCAAGGGTGACAGGTGAAGTTACTTCTCTAGAAAAGTTCCTGGTGTGAAGCGGGAGCAATAGGTTAATGAAATGCTGGGGCAGGTATTGTGTAGCTTGGAAAATTCTATCCTGGAGGACAAACTCTTAGGTGTGGGAGTCTGGCTGTAATGAGGCAGCAATCTTGCTCCTGCAGAAGCCAGTCAGATCAAGTAGGTTTGCTCTGGCCAAGCTCACATATTCTCCAGCTGGAGGAATAAGCTGGACCCATCTCTACGATGGGTCTGTGGTGCACACACCAATGTGTGGATGTAGGGCTGTGTCACGGTTTGACACTGGCGCAATGCCAGTGCCTCCATGAAAATAGCTTCAGTTCCAGCTCCAGGTCCCGCCAACTCTCCATCATCCAGCGCCAGGAACTGAGGCCCAGGGTGGGATTTAGAGGTGGGAAGAAAGGTGTGTGACATATTGGTGAGTTTTGACTCTCCTGGGGACAGCCCTGTGTCCTGAGCTGCTGTGGCAGTGCCAGCACAGCACTGCAGTTTGCCCTCTTGAAGCCCTCTGTCAGGCTGTGGAACAGCTGCCCCAGCACAGCTTTGCCATGGATGGCCACCTCTGCTTCCTCACACCTAGGGAGGGGAGCAGGGCATCCCACCAGGCTGGTGGGGGCAGGCTGGGACAGGGGTTGACCTCAGCTTTCCATGGTGTGGGAGAGGGGCTGTTGGGCAGCCTGCTGCTGTGAAAGGGGACACACTGGGAGAGAACTGGTGCATGCACCAATGTGTGGATGCGGGGCTGTGTCACAGTTTGATGCTGGCGCAATGCCAGTGCCCCCATGAAAATATATGCTCCCTGGTGTCTGCTGTGAGATGGGACCAGGAATAGAGCCAAACAGGCTCCAATTTAGGAATGAAGAAGAAAAACTTTATTAACCTGCAACTATATATAGAAGGAAACACACACAGAACTCCAAAAACATTCTTCCTCTCCCCCACCAAATTTCCAATACATCCATCCCTCAGATCAGCAACTCTCAGTCCATCTCCACCCTTCAGATAATCAATTCTCAGTTCATCAAGGAGAGAGGAGTCCTTCTTGTACCATAGGCTTCCCCTGGAAACACAGTTGAAACTTCTTGTGTTTCCATGTCACACGTGGCCTGGAGATCATTTGCCATCATGACATCTTCCTTCCATGTCCGGTGCTCTCACCACTGCACATGGACCAGGGCTGCTTCTAGGGTTTCCCTTTTTAAGGATGCTTTGCCCAGTTCCAAAAAGAGAACAGTCTCTCACTTTCGGGACACCTGTTCCCCCCAAATTTCACCCCCTGGGGCCGAGGGGTCTCAAGAACAGAGATCTTCTCTTCCACTGAAGATCGAGGGCACCAACCACCCTCCTCACCAGTCACCTCTGTTCACACACTCCTTCACATAACATCACTGCACTCTCTTGGCTCCTAGCCATTGCCTCCCCCTAGATGCAGTCTCTGTGTCCCAGGAAAAATGGTTCTGTCCATGGCTATACAAGAAAAGTCCAGCCAAAGGCCACTCCATCACCTCCGCCCACCCAAGATTCTTCTCAACTTCTCTCGTGGCTCACTTCCTCTTATCTCTATCTCCTCATTCAGCTCTAAGAGGATCAGCATTTGTAAGGTTTCCATCATCCGAGGAAAGGGTTAAAAATGTCAGGCTCTTCCTGTCCAGAGCTCCCACGCTGTCCTGCCGGGCACCTTCTTGCCGCACCACCCCCCCCCCCCCCCCCCCCCCTTCTCCCTTCTCCTTCTTGACTGGCCGTGCTATCAAATTTGGTGGCACAGGCACAGACACCAGCTCTCCCTCTCTCTCTCTCCTGGTGGGGGGGAGGGTGGCTGCCCAATGTCTCTCAGTACTCCTCCTCCCTTCCATCCTGCAGGGGCCTTCACCTCCCTTCTCTGTCCAAAGCTCCGGCCTACTTCACCCGGCTGCATGGCTTCCCCTGCCCCACCCAGCCCGCAGCTGGGCAGGGCAGCTCTGACCTCTTTCACCCACCGGAACCAAGAGAGCTTTCTCCAGGGAGTTCTCTGCTTTTAAACCCCTGTGTTCTCAGGGGCGTATCCATGTCCTCAGTGGCCACACCAGGTGCCAATATTCAAATCTGAGCGCCTATTGGTTTGACCACAGCATCCCAAAAAATTCACTTCTTTTTCAAACCAGGACACTCCCTAACCCAAATGCCTTTTTGACCAGTTGAACAATTTCAGTCAGTTCTGGTAAGTAGAAGGGACTCTGCTTCTAGCACAGTGAGCAGGGCTGGGACCAGGGTCAGGTGACATCTCCACAGGAGAGGGCACATGTGGGCAAGCCACTGGGCTTCAGTGGGGAGGCCCTTGCTTTTGGACCTGTTGCTCACACCGAGGCTCAATTGCTGGGAGCAGCTACTGGCACCCAGGCTGGAACTGTCCAGAGGTGGGATGTCACAAGGGCTGTAGCAGGGGAAAAAGAGTGGGAAGCTGAGACAGCCCAACCTATTGTTGCCCAGAGAAACTGTAGGTGCCCCATCCCTGAAAGTGTTCCAGACCAGGTTGGGTAGGGCTTGGAGCAACCTAGGATAGTGGAAGATGTTCCTGTCCATGGCAGGGGATTGGACTAGGTAGCCTTTAAAGGTTCCTTTCAATTCAACCCAACCCAACCGGGCCCAATCCAACACATTCTCTGACTGATTGCATGACCTCCTAGGGCTCCCCCATGCTGGGAAAGGTCATGGCTGTAATGCTTGTTCTCTGCCTTTGTTCCCTCAGCTTCCTTTCAGGGCCGGGAAATTTCCCTGTTTGTTATGGGATCTCTCCTGCTCCTGTTATTGTTTGTTGGCCTGGCTTTTTATTTCATCAAAAGGTGAGAAACCACCGTTGTATCTGCTGTGTATCCCCCACCCTCTCCTTCCCCAGGGCCTCCTCTGTATAACTGCTGCACAGAGACCTGCTCCTTTACTCAGCTAAACACCTACATTGCCCTCAGACTGTTGAACATGCTGCTCCTCATTCCTGCAGTGAAGTCCCTTCCTTTTCACAAAGCCTCTGTTTCTGACAGAGCAGACTGCAGGTTCTGCAGGAGGCTGAGATAACACCAGTAAATCCTGGATGATGCTGGGAATGGCAGCAGGTGCAGTGTAAGGGCCATCAGTGGTACTGACAACATGCTGTGGTGGGAGAGCAGAAACCTGAAGGCATGTGGCACACAACAGATGATGCTGTGGCCACAGGGGAAGAGCTCTTCCTTGGAGCAGGATGGAAATGACAGACACCTTAGGATTACCTTGGTGGGAAACACCTTCCGTGTTATAACATGACAGCACATTAAATAGGTGTTCCCTAATGTGGTCAGGAGGCAAACAGCAGCTGAACACTTAGGCTGTAGATCTGTCTGAAGTAAATTTTATGGTGGATAGGTTATTTAACCAGCCCAAGTGATTTGTTGTTATTAATTTTTGCTGGGTTTTTTTTAGCACTGGATAAATGGCTGATGTGCAAGAGTTAGAAATGAGGAAGGTTCTTAGAATACATTTGGGGAATAGAAAACCCAGCGTGTGTATATGTATATATATATATTTTTTTTTTTTTTTTTAAATAATTTAAGAAGTAGCCCAAGTCAGATTTAGGGAAGCTCTTTCAGAAACCAGCGTGGTTTTAACTACATGTGCCAGGGAATAGCAGTTGTTCTTTTTCTCCAAAACGTTAACAGAGACATTAGGGAACTGTGCCTGCTGAGTGCTGATCATCCAGCCTCTTCTTTTCGAACCTGAGGTGCAGATTAGCTGCCTTGGGCAAAAGAGCAGAGCAACTGATTGTGTGGTTTTTTTCATCTGTTGCTTTTCAGACATCCCGAAAATTACACCAACATCCAAATGAGTGACCGCAGGCAGATGGCAGCAGACTTCTAGTTCCCTTGGGCACAGCTGGATCTGACAGCCCTGGGGCCAGCAATGTGTCTCGGGGCAGCAGAGCAGGTGTCCAGCTCCCCCAGGCACTGGGGCTGCTGCACAGACCTGCCACATGCATCTACATCTGTGCACGTGCGTACAGCTCCACGTGTGTGTCTGTGTACAAACACTTCAGTTGGTTTTTACCCTTCTTAATTTTGACCTTTGACTCAAAGAGACCTCAGAAACAGGCTGGGCACTTCTCATAGGCACAGGCTGTGCCAAGCGTGGTGCCCGCGCAGACAGAAGCCTGCTTGGCTGATGTGGAGGAAGGACACGTTCTCTGCCTCCTCTCGGGATTCGCTACTGGGTGCTGTGCCAAGGCCACACCCATCAGACCTTTACTGCTGGCAGGCAAGGCCAGTCTCTGGTCCTTCTGGACTCCACTGCTCAGCGAGGGCCCATCAGCCTCCTCCATGCCCTTCTGGTGCAGGGAAGGGGGTTCTCAGCATCATGACCTGGTCTTCTAGAGCAGCACTGCACCACCAGGAGCCTGCTCTAGGGAGAGCCCTTGCAACTGGGGATCACAACCAGGAGGGTATCCTGCCCAGGAAATTAGAGGAGAGCTTAACATCCAGTTAATCAGCTCCTGCCCAGATGCAACTCTTACTGGTACGGTCCTGCCCATATCTCACCAGACAGTGGGCAGCAGCAGTACCAGACTCTAGATCTGTGGGGTGAGGAGGGTGGAATCTGCTCAGTAAAAGATTGTTTCCTACAAGTCTGATCTATCCCTAATGGTGCAGCAGCTAATACCAGGCTCCAGCAACATTGTGTGTGGTCTCACCTCACGGGTTTCTGCACCCTGTGCGGTTCCACACATGGTGATAGTGACCCAGACAGTTCCAGCCTGCTCACTGGCTGGGTGAGGGGTAGGGAATACACAGATACTGATCCCACACTGGTTCTGAACCGTGGTGTAGACAGATTTTTACTGAACAAGCTTCTGTGGAGGGAAGGGCAGGATTGATCATCATGGCATTGACCCTTGAGAAGGAAGCATCCTGTATTCCTGGAGTCCCACCTCCCTGCTGTGTCCACGTTAGCTGCATCTTCTCCTTGCAGGCGTTCTCCTGAGGTCCATAAGCCCCAGCCAGCTCCAGTGCCAGCCACGATCAGCAGCACAGGAGGAGCAAGGCCTCAGCCTTCCACTGTCCAGCCTCTTATGCCAGGCAGCCCCATCCAGTCAGCAGGGCTGGGAAGATGAGGCACCAGGGACCTTATCTGCTGGGTGCTGCATGTAATCCTTGGGCAGCCTCTGAGAGATGGTTCTTCCTCCTGGCTCCATTAGCACAGTACTGCTGGCACACCCAGGCCTTGTGGGAGCTCAGATCAGCTCCATCTTGAACTGGCTGAAGTTTGGCATGCTGGGCGAGGGCTCAGCCATGCTGCTGAAGGGGCCACAGGGCTGGGTGGCAGGCACAGTGCTGTGGCTCACAGTGGAGCTGAGCTGCTGCAGTGTCATCAGCACCTCCTGCTGCAGCCGCTGCTGGTGCTCCTGCTGGCGCTCCAGGTGGCACTGCCGCTCCAGCACCGCATGCAGGGCCTGGCTCAGCTTCTGCACCTCCATCTGTACAGCATCCAGCTTCTTGACAATGGCAGGGCAGCTGGGAGCAGTGGGGGGCACTGGTTCGCTGCAAGCAAGGCTGTGATTTCCCAGACCCACAGAGTTTGGCAAGGCAGTCTGAGTGCTGGCATCTTTGACCTGGAATAGTGGGAGGCAGGAGAGAAGGGAATGTGAAATATTATCAGCTGCCTGTTCAATGGCATTTAACATGGGATTTATTCTGCACTTAGCTACAAGGCTCAGAGAAGAGCTCTCAGAGAAAGACATCACCTTGCTGCAGATCTCTAGACCTCACCATGTGCTGCTCTTCAGCCCCACCCAGCCCCTAAGCTGCTGCTCCATCAGAGCCCCTGGTGCACCATGTTGTTAGCAGATGCTGATCCATCCTGGTGAGTGCCACTGTACAGCAGTGGGGCTGCCCATGCTGATGCCAGGTTTGTGTTTACTCTCTGCACGGACAGAAACAACATACCCTGGATTTTGCTTTATAGCCTTGGGTGGCTGGTAGAACTTCCTGAGATGGTACTGGCACCAATCCTTAAAAACAGGTTTTGGAGCTGCCAGTTGGAGGCCAAGCCTGGCGTGACTGGCATCTCCATGGCCAGCAGTGGGTGCTGGCTGGAGGCGGGTGGGTGCATGGCCTCACCCCCCACCCAGAGGGGCTTCCAGATATATTCGCCAAGTGCCAGGGTTAGCATTGCTGGGGATATGCAGCTAGCAGAGGTTGGAGGCATTCTGGAAGCCTTTCACCCTCAGAAGCCTGCCCCAAAACATGGTGTAGATGCAGCAGGGTTTTGTGCAGGGCTGGCCAGATGGCAGCAGCTCCTGGCTGGAGCACATGGACTCTCTCATCCTGCCATCCTACCTTTTTCTGCAGGAGGATAGCCCTGTCTACTGTCTTCTTTTTCACCATCAGAGCTGAGTTCTGGGTGGGGGGTGTGACCAGCTGTCCTCGGCTGGGCAGTGGCTGAGGCAGGGGGGCAAGGCCTGTCAGAGCAGTCCCTGGAGCCAGGGCTGAGCCTGTGGAGCTGTCATCACCTGCAACAACAGAGAGAGAAATACCTCAAAAAAAAGACCCTTGCGGGGTCTCCAGTGGGGAATAGGGCCCTTTCATGAGCCCAGCAGTGCCAGGAAGTCGCCATGGTAAACCCCAGTGGGGCCAGGCCTTACCATTCCCAGGGGCCAGCCCCATAGCCAAAGTGTCCCCAAGCTGCCCACCGTCCTTGCAGAGTGAGGCCACACTGACAATCTGGATGCCTTCCTTGGTGTCCTGGCTGCCCACAGGATCCCCGGTGGGCAGTGCAGGGTGCCGGGTGCCCAGCAGCCTGGGGAGCTCAGCCTTATGCCCCTGCAGTGGGGGCCAGGGCTGGTCCCCATCCCAGCCAGCTGCCGCTGACCCCGGCTCCACACTCTTCCTCTTGAGGAAGAGGTACACGGCCTGTGGCGTCACCCGGATGTCATCCAGCTCCAGCACCTTCTTGATCTTGCGGAAGCTCAGCCCAGCCCTGCGCAGCTCCACGATTCTCCTCTTGGCACGGTCATCCAGCCGGCCCATCCTGCCGGGACTCCTCCCGTGCCCGGCACCTACATCCCTGGGGTGCGTCCGTGGTGGGGATGCTGGCACCCCCCCAGGCAATTCTTGTGCCCTGTGATGGTGCTCAGGCTCAGCTAGTGCCTTGCTGCCAGGCTGCTGACCCTTGCTCTGCATCCATGTGGTGCCATCCCCAGCAGTGGAGAGGGTGAGGAGATGGCTCTTCCCACCAGAGTGAATATGGACAGCCCCAAGCTTGTCCCTTGCTCACTTGGAACCCCTTTAGAGAGAGGGTTCCAGCTTGGTCCCCTAGTCTGCCAAGGGCACAGAGGATGGTGATGGGCTTGGCTCTGCCCAGTGTCCCAAACTGGACATCAATCCCACCCTGCCAGCAGCACAGTGAGGAATCAGAAGCAGTCAGGACCTCAAGCAGCAACTCAGTGTCTCAGGAAGCCTGGAGAGAGTCCTGGCAAGTGACGGTTCATCGTACAAAGCTGGCAGGACTCCATTGTGTTTCCCTGGTGGCCCAGAAGGTCACAGCAAGCAGAACTGTAGAAACTCCATGTGGGAATTGCTGGTGCTGCAGAGCCTGCCCTTGGGTCTGGAGATGACACCGTCCTGTACCTTTGGGAGAAGCAAATGCAACTACTGATACACTCATAAAGAAGGCACAACTATAAATATAATGGCTGCACTTCCTGTGCTTCCCCTCTCACACCAGGTACGTGCCTGTACCACACAGGGATATACCTATATATGTCTATCCATGCACATGTATGTGTCTGCACAACTATGGTGGAGAGTATTTTCCACTTTCTACCAAATTCCTTAATCTGCAGGCATTTCTTGGACCCTCAGTGCTGCAGCTGCTCCCTAAAGGACATACTTGTAGGTTTCACTTCACTAAAATAAGTATCTTCCAGGAATTCCCAGAAGGCAGCAAAACACTTCCGATTAGAGACTACCTCAAGTTGGCTGCTGCCAAGCAGATGTGATATAGGAACTTTTTCCAAACCACATTTCCCAAGGTACATGTGGATCTTAAAAAAGACAATAATGTGTTACGTTGGCCAAGGAGGCACAGAGACTACTGGACATCAGACTCAGGGAGAATTGGAGTCAATTTGATAGAGGAGTTTTGCCCCTCTGCATCTTACTTGTTCCATGGCAAAAGAAAGACACATTAGCTCCAGAGATGTAGGCTCTACTTTGATCCAGCTCTGTTTATGTCAAGAGGCCACCCCATGCCCTGTTTGCGTGCATTAGGGACCTTGTAGATAAGAGCTGGGGCAGTGGATATTGGAAAACAGACATCCTTGGATGTGGACAGTACAATTGCAGAGCAAGAGCAAAAGGTCAGAAATTCTCAACCTTCCCCACATCAAAGGAAGATGCTCCAAGGAGACCACCACCTTAAAGCTACAGGTATGAGGTGTTTGAGCCCTGGCAATATATTCTGCCCTCCTCCCACAGTGCCTCCAGACATAGCCAGAGGACACTGGAGTATCTGAGCAGTTGGTGACAGAAACATCATTTACATAAATGCCAGGAAAGCCAACAGCCACAGCTGCAGCCTTCACCCATCCTCCACAGGGAAGATGAGGAGACCGCCTTGGAGGAGGACCAACTCTACACTGCATCTCCTCCAGCTTCCTCTCCACTGAAGGTGTTCCTCTTTGTGTAGCATCCCCATGTCCCAAGTCCCTCCTTCCTCACATGCTCATCCCCTTCAGCCCTTCCCAGTCCTCAACTGAGATCCCATCGCCCTGTCCTGCTTTCCTGGGCTTGGGGAAAGTTCACAGGAGGCAACAGGCCGTCCGTGCCCTGCTAATCCCACATAAACTCAGTATTCCCAATTCACAGTGTTCCCTCAGAACCCTCCATTTGTTGGAGGATCAGCAGGATGAGGAGTTTAGCCAGGATGGCTTCAGGGCAGTAGGGCTTGGCTATGGAGAGCAGCTGCATGGAGATACCATCAATGCTCAAGGCTTCACCCAAGCTCCTTATCCTTCAAGAACAGCACTTGCCTCTGCAACAGGGCTTTTAAAAAAATCTATTTACTGATCAGAGGTAGACCAAAACCGGAAAAGCCATTTCAGAGAAGACACTGCAAAGCAGGCTGGGGGTCAGAATCCAGCAGGTGAGCAGGAGATGCAAGAGGCAAGTGCCGGCCTAAGTGCAGGTGAAAAACCAGCTCCAATCCTGCTCACTTACACCTTGAGGGCGGACAAAGTGCACAACAGCTACTCCACCCCTGTCAGGTAGGGGAAAAGGGTTACCACTGAAAGCAACACAAGTCTATTCCATAAAACACAGGAATCCAGAATGCTTTGGGTAGAAAGGGACCTTAAAGCTCATCTTGTTCCACTCCCCTGCCATGGGCAGGGACACCGTCCACTATCCCAGGTTCACCCAAGCCATGTCCAACCTGGCCTTGAACACTTCCAGGGGCAGCCACAGCTCTCTGGGCAACCTGTGCCAGGGCCTCACCACCCTCACAGGGAAGACTTTCTTCCTAATATTTAATCTAAACCTACTCTCTGACAGTTTGAAGCCATTCCCCCTTGTCCTATCTCTAGATGCCCTTGTAAAAAGTATCTCCTCATGTTCCTTGCAAGCTCCCTTCAACTACTGGAAGGCCAACTCATAAGATCCCACAGTCAGCCCTTGCAACAGCCGGGCCTGGTTCCATCTCTACTTATAACTTTATTTATCCAGGTCTTGCTGCAAACTCACAGTTTCCCTGTACTAAATGTGCTCCCCATTTGCACACTGAGTCCATCACCTTCTCCTCTTTCTCCCTCTCCAGCAGGTATTTTCCCCAGGGAGCTGCAGCCTGTGCTATGCACACACCTTATCAACTTACACATTCACAAAAGAGATGAGATCTTTACACTCACCTGGCCTTCAAGGTATTTGTTACTCTCCAATAATGTTTGCACAAGGAAAAACAGAAATCAGTTGAATGAGAGGGAAAGATTCAAGGATTTTCCTAGACCAGTGACTGATGAGGTTCCCTTCGCTTTCCAGGGCCAGGCTGAGAGCGACATGTTTCTTCTAATAGTTTCTTACACCACTTGGGAAAAGTTAATTCCAGTGGTGGTTTTGCAGGAGGATAGGAAAAGGGAGCACATCGATGTAAGAAAATTCACAGCAATTGTGTGAGCTCACCCTCTGCCTCTAAAGCTTTCCCTTTCTGTGGATATCAGGAATACAGAGAGGGTTCATCTCCTCCAGAAAATCCTGACACAGTCTCATCTGAACTGACTCAATCTTTGCTATTTCTAAAATAGAGTGGCACCACAAAGTTGGCTTGGCTGGCATTTCCATACCAAGACCAGGTGCCGTGAGCTGAGTGTGGGCAATAAAAGTCCCCTGTTATGAAATCCTGCTTGCCTCTGCCTGCCTGGCTGTCACACTGTGTTCCAGCCACAGCTGCAAGTCCTTTGGCAAACCCAGATTCTGCAGCCACAGATTATTCCCCTGCAAGCTGCAATGGTTTCTCGTGGTATGAAAGTGTCTTCCCCCCACACCCCTTGTGTTTTGAAGTGGGATGAGGATCCCAGGGGAAGATGTAGTGACTGGATCACTCGGTTTACTTAGTTCCAATCAGAGAGGCCTGTCATGCAGCACCACAGTCTACAAGTTTTTCCCTTTAGTGGGTTGGCTTCTGAGACCTTACACAGCCAGCTGGACATACACATTTCCCTTGTTACACCACCACACCTGCAACAGGAATTTTACTCCAGCCTGCCAATTTAGGTGTCTGTCCAAATTTCAAATTAGCCACCCTTTCTTCAGCTACTGCTGAATGCTTGCAATGCCTGAAGTCTTTATGTACTTAGTTATAGCTGAGAAAGGCCCTTTACCTTGGTATTACTGCTGATAATGCTCTATTCCATAACTCTGCATGCAGCTGTATCTACAGAAACACAGCCTAGAGACTGAAGCAGCCTTCCCATCACCACAATTGTTTCCTTAGTTCCCCTACACTCTGGCCCAGATAATACTACATACAAAATTAAACAGCCTCAAGAGAGGAGGAGAAAGAAGACAGCATGCTCCAGGCTTCCTTTCAGAGCAGAGTGGATTTAAGGTGTAAAAAAGAGGAAGAGCATGAATTCAGGTCTTCCTACAATTCAAGTGACGTAACCACTAGCCTTAAGCCAAGCAGGCTCTTCCTCTGCACAACTTGTCTCTGTGCTTATGCAAGCTTCCACTTCAGGAGGTGAACCTGAGAGAGAGGACCTTCCCCATCCTGCAAGTCCTTGGGGTAGAGCTCCCTCACCTGCCTGCACACACATCCACCCCAGCCACTGCCACCTGTCTCTCCCACAGTTCTTCTGAAGCCCTGATTACCTGGGTTTGAATGCCAAATTCCCCAAGAGTAAAACATTAATTGTGTGACCATGGAGCTGGCTCATGTCTGGGAAGATTAACTTCTCCCTTTTGTCTCACAGCTGCTCTTGGACACAGGCAGTTTTTATCCTTATACACAGGTACAAGCAAAGCTGCTTCTAGAATTCATGCTGAGGTGATGCAAGGAAGAGTTAATCCTTCAACAGACATGGCACAGGTCGCTGTGCTACCCTGGGGCTGGTTTCTCAATGGCTGTTTCAGCTGCACCACAGCATGCCCGTGGCCAGCCTGGCCCATGAGATGGAATAGCCTTGGAGACATGGAAGCATTTAGGTACAGATGCAATCAGAGCAACAAGCTCCCATACACTATTTCAGGAGCAGCAAAGTCATGAGGCAGTAGGTACAGAGGTGGAGCAACGGGTTTCACCAGAGAGACAAACTGCTGATGCTGAGAACAGATGTGATTGAAAGTGAGGAAGGAGAGAAGCAAAAGCTGTGACCCACAGGGAGCATGAAGATGCAGAGCAAGAAGATAACGCTCACTGTCTGGTCTCAGCAATTGAAAACAGACACTTCATGTTGTTAACATCCCAAAGCATGCTGAGCTTAAGGGCTTGCTGTGCTGCACAGAGTGCAAAATACTCCTGCCCTAAGAAGGTCCATGTCAGATCATGAAGAACAAAGTTGGATGTGGCTATGTCTCTTTCCTTTCAATGCTCCTTGTACAGTGCAAGGCTAGTTTACCAAGCCATGGGAAACAGTTTACCTCATTTACAATGGATTCAGTGTTGCCAAAAGGAGATTGATCCTCATGGTCCTTGTAAGGAGACACAAGCCAATCTGTCAGGTCTGGGCCTTGTGATTAGAAACAGCTCGACAAGGTTCTCTTGTCTTGTCAATTGTCTTGCTTGTCTTACTTTCTTTTGTGTCTGATTTCCAGACCTCCTTCTCAGACCCCCAGCACAGCCTGGGAAGCTGGAGCAGCTGCAAGCAGCTGGGGAGAGACACTCATCCATCTTGTTTAGTTTTGTTGCTTTCCTGTAGTGTTCTGAATAGCTGCTGCAAAACCAAGAAGAATCCTCCTTCACTCTGCATCAGCTTGGAGGGGAAAATAATTATTATAAACATCTCCCAGAAGCACAGGGAAGACAGTGCTGGTTTACATGGGATTCACATATAGATTCAGACAGCAAGAAATGTATGAAGTAGAGCAAATGAATTGTGGAAGGAGTGAGTCTGCTACAGATGCCCAAATCCTCACCCTGCAGAGAACTGTGCTCTGAACACAGTCATGTGTTCATGGGGAGTACAATTCTCCACTGGGCTTCCTGCCCTCCAGGTCCTGTTCCAGAGCTTGCCTGGCACTGTTCAGAAGGGACATGGATAGTTCTTTGTCCAACTCATGGCCCTGCACAGGACAGCCCCAAGAATGGCAATGAGCTGGCCGAGGTGGTTCAGTGGAACTTAGCCCGGAAAAAGATGAAGAGTATTAAGTGTCCAATGCTGAAATGTTGCCAAAGCAGAAAGATCTGTGCCAGGGAAAAAATGGTCATTTCTCCTAGGCTGCAATTTTACTCAGTGCCACTGTTCTGTGGGATTTGCCAAGCCTTATGGAAGCAATAACATTATCTAACAGTACTGAGTGTAGTGAGGCAGCATCCCACCTTACCTGTGTACCTTACCCTTTCTTTGTAAATTTGGTGAAGGAGCAGCTCTGTTACTGGTTTTGTCAAAAGGTGATGGGTCAGATGAATTTAGATGGTGCTGCTGCTACCTGAGCCATGCTGGCTTCCCTCTGAAGGGATAACCTCAGAAGATGATTTTAATCAAGTTGTACTTCAGACATCAGAATGGCAGAGAGAAAGGGTTGGGTCTGGCCCAGGGTTTGAAGTGAGCTCTATCTTGGTTTGCTCTATCACCTGCTCTGACAACTGCTTCATTCATTTAGGCTGTGCTTTCAGAGCAGTTGAGGAGCTACCCCTGCCTGGCCACACTTTAAAAATCAGATCCTCATATGGAAAACATAAAAATTTATGGTTATACCTTAAGATTTGCAGAATTTTAACACTGAAGAAAGTTGGATCGCCACAAAGTTTCTTTAACAGTTTTGGGGGTTGCAAAAAAAAAATTGTGAGTACAATGGTACACATAGTTTGTCTTGCCTCAGACAATGCTACTACAGCCTGGAGCTCACTGGGAAATAGGGTATAGACATATGGTGGAAAGATAAAGAGGAGTGTGTTGGGATGTTTAGGAACACAGGGTAACACTGTGTTAGTGTTGTTAGTACTGTTACCTCACCTTTGAGGGGAGAAAGGGAACAGCATCGGGAATACTGAAAAATCCTCCCATATTAGTGAAAGGGTCCCAGCTGTACACCACAGAGCAGAGACACTGCATAAAATCACACTTTGATAGCCTTGAACAAAAGGCTTTTCACTGGATCAACTCTCCCACAGCCCAAAACCCAGAGTCACCCTCAACATTTTTACCTGGTCTGACAAATTCAGCATGGCTGTGATGCTGTGTCTGGTAAAGGTCAGGTATGTATCAAGAAATTATTTAGAGCATCCAAACATGATATTAAGAACTGTGGAACCACAGCTTGAAGGAACAAGATTCTTTCACAGGTCACGTGGAGACGTGTGGGAGGGGAGCAGGCTAGATTTCACATGCTGGCTCCAAAATCTTTGCCCTCACACTAAACAAATTAATCAAGGTGAACTTTGGTATTCAGACAAGAACAATAAATACCAAGTATCTCACTGTCCTGCCTTTACCTGTGCCTCTCTGTAAAGCATTATGTACTTTGAGTCACTGCTCTCTACAGACACAGCCCTTCCAGCAAAGAGAGCTGCACTGGCTACGCCACCAGCACACCTTGAATTTCTAGTCTTTCACATGCCTGAATAGGAAACAAATAAATCACAGCAAAGTGAAACATAGTATTTATTCCTTGTGGTGAAACCAGACGTTTCCCTAAGTTTAGCACTGAGCAGGTATATTCCTACAGCATCGGGACAGAGGAGTGTTGCAAGAAAATGAGCACCAAGGCTCAGTTTTAAAGCTAAAAGCCCTGAAATATACAAATGTATGCACTGACACATCCAGGGGCAGACAGTTATGAAGTCCTAAACCTGTTCATGGCCTAGTTACCAGTGTGCACTGCAAGAATAGCCTTAGACCTCGAGAGGGCCAGTTGTTCAGAAACTATGGTAGATGGCTTAATAGACCTATAAGTATTTCAACTAAATTGCTAAATTCACACCCTTCTGCTGATTAGAGAGAAGTCCCAAAATCTCCTATTTTCGTTCCAAATCTATGTAGCTACTCAACAATGCAGCCATTGGAAACTCCCTGCAATGACAACTAAGGCTGTTTCTACACATTTGGATGAAAAGTTTCCAAGTCTCAGAAGACAAATGCCCCACCCTGCAAAATTCCTCTAAGGAAGCCACACAGACTGTATCCTCTGGAGCCACACACCCCTACTCTCATAGAAGTGCGGGAGTGGCAGACTGAACAGGAGGCAGAGCAAAGATCTCCCAGCACAGGGAAAACACCAGCATCCAGAGGCTGTGGGCTGGGCCAGTGCTGCAGTGCAATCCCCACAAATGCTAAGCAATGCCTGGTACAGGGTGCTCACACCTCACCATGATAAAGGAATGCCAGTGTTGCTGTGGGCAGAATGACCCACTGATCACCTGGATCTCTGGGGCCTCAAGGAGAGCTCTCTGTAGTCGCCACCACAACCGAAAGCCAATTGATAGGAAGGACAAATGAAGCGCCAGTCGCAAGTCGGCACAACACACGGGACAAGCGCCCTCAGCCTCAGGCAGCGTTTAGAGACAATAAGCCCCAACCCCACTGGCACCGGAGCGGAGCAGTTCACCTGCGGAGGTGGCTGTAAATGGCTTGTCCTCAGCAGAAGCCTGGGAGTGCAGGAGGAAAGGGACAGAAAAGCACTGAAGTAAGAGCCAAAAGCAGCACTCACACAGCTCTGTTATTTCATCTCCTGCTCGTCCACCAACACATGGGCAGTATCTAAAGGAATCTGCACTTCGCTGGAAAATTGCTGGGTAGGCTTCTGAGTTCAAGAAGTGGCTGGAGGACAGCACTTCAGATCGGGCATGCCACTCCCAGCTCCGACATCGAACCTCAGCACCGCACCAGCTTCCGCACGGCCGCGGGCCCCGGAGCCCTGTCCTGCTGCACCCTCCCTGTGCTCGCACCACTGCCGGGAGTTCCTCTCATCCTTCCCCACGCCACTCCCAGCGCCCAAACCAGCTCAATGCACGGAAGCAAATGGGCAGAACACCCACGTACAGGGACTCCCGACGGCAGCCGGGGTCCTCTCAGGCGATGGCACCAACTCACTGCCGCGTTCTCCGGTGGCCGGGACCAGCCAGGTGCCAGCGCAGCCCAGCTCTACCGCAGCCAACTTTCAGGGAAGCAGCTGTTTGAAAACCTCTGGTCCTCTTTGTTTGGTTGAGGCAGAGCCAGCAAGGGCTGCCGGGAAGGTCACGCAGGAGGACACCGATGTACAGGAAGGGCGGAGCCCGCCTCGTAACCCTTTCGGGGCAGCCGCGCTCCAGGGCCGCCGGGAGCCACGTCACCTTAGGGCACAGACCTGTGTGTCCCGTCCCGGAGCACAGCCCAGGCGTGGCTGGTCACACCCGTGCCACAGGATGAAGGAGAAGCCTCACAAGAGGCAGCTCTGCCGTCCCTACAGGTGCCCTCCAGGCCTGGAAGCACCAGCTCGATCTCTGCGGGGGATGGTGCTGGCTGTGCCAGCCGGGCTGCTGGCAGCGGGCAGAGGCCACAGCGGGGCCATTCGCTCTGAAACTGAAGCAGACACGTGCTTTGAGCTGTTCTCATCTCTGCTAGTGCCCCCAAATGATATGTTAAAATGTCTCTCCTCGTTCAGGCTTGGCTTAAAGGCTCAGTCCTGCCAGCTGCTGGCAGCCCCTGGAAGCGGATCAGAACCGCCACACGCTGCCACCGCCGCCCTGGGGCTGGCCCTGCGGCTCACAGCTCTGCGGGAACCTGCTTCAGCTAACAGCTGGCAGCAGACCTTTTTTTACAGTATTATTATTTCTCTGCTGGGTCAGTGACCTTACCTGCCCACCCCCGGAGAGATGACAGCTGTTATGAGAATATGGGTGTGAAGGATTTTGGGATCAGCTAGCCTTTATGGCTTTGCCATAACTGAGAGAAAAAAAATGTTAAACACTGTGAGTGCAGACAGGTGGGCGTTAGGCTCTACTCCCAGCGAAAGCGGGACAGGATAAGGGGAAATGGCCTCATGTTGCACTCGCGGTGGTTTCATTTGGATATGTTATAAATACATATTATATTGTTGGCTTTTTACAAATATTATGATGAATGCTACATGTAAAACGTTAAAATAACTTTGCTTTTATTTCTGCTATTAACAAAAACTTAGACATGGTAGTAGTGGTAGCTGATATAGTTAGGAGTGAACTGTCTGTTTGGTTGAGATAACATCCAGTGAACATGTAATGAGGCCCCTGCTATTGATATGTCAGCTATCAGCATCTGCCATCTGAAGAAAGTATGGACCAAGGCCCAAACTAGAAGTGGTAAAGAGAAGGGACCAAAACCACAGCCAAGAAACACGCCTGCTCTAAAAAGGCAAACCCAAGCAGGGGCCATGCAAAATAGTTCCTGGAATAGGTAAACTAGTTTATGGAGAAATACGAATATGCATCAGTCTATGAATATGCAACAGGCTGATGTAATGGAAAAGGTATTTAAGGGGTATCTCGGAAGATGTGTGCTCTTGGCTGAATGCCAAGCACCCAGCTGTTTTTAACGCTTTGCTTTATTTCTGTTTCCTACTGTCTTTTTATTAAACTTCTTAATTTTTACCGGAAAGTGAACCTCGTTTTTCACAAATATTAGGGATATACTCCTCGCAGAATGGGTGGTCAGGCACTAGAAGATGATACCCAGGACAGTGGTAGAATCACCATCTCTGAAAGTGTTCAAAAAAATATGTAGACGTGGCATCTGGAGATGTGGTTTAGTGGTGGCCTTGGCAGCACAGTGGGAATGGCATTGGAATTAGACTCAATGATCTCAGAGGACTTTTCCAACCTAAATGATTCCATGATTCTAAGCTCATAATGACAGTCTACTAATAGTCCTCATTTGACATAATGCAGTTTCTCATTGAACCCATGTGGATTTTTAGTAGACTACAAAATCTCCTGCGAGAGAAATCTGCCCTTTAACAAGATGCTGTGGACAGAAGAACAACTTCATTTTTGCTTTCTTTGGGGTTTTGTTTATTTTCTTTGTTTTCTGAACCCATTCCATGCCAGGTCTTATGTAATACCCCTTGGGTTTGCAGCAGAACAGAAAATAAGCCTGTTTTTATTCTTGCCAAATACGAATTTACAGACACCTGCCCTGGTCTTGCTCATGCCCTGTGATGGAGGTAGACAGGACATATCCTTCCATTGCATTCAAGAGGCGAAGCTTCTGTCATCGGGAATTTAACAGACGTGCCTGTGGCCATACACATAAGCTGATCAGCACACCTGCTTCTCAGAAAGATCTGTCACTTTCAAGGCTCTGCATTAGGGATGGGTCAAAATACACTTCTGGCTTTGTTCATCTGAAGTCAAAAGTCAGGCAGCCAGTGTGGTGAGAAGGTCAGAGGTTCAGTGTCTGCAGTGGCAAATTTCAAGTTCACAAACACATTTGGCAGGGAGAGAGAGAGGTTATCCGTCCCACGACATGAAAGGCCACTCTATGGTGCTCCATCTTAAGTCTTTCATTCTCCTCTTCCCAATTTTCTTGCAGCTGAGAGGGCAAATCCCCTCACACCTGCCACCACCTCAGATCAGAGGCAGTGTGCTGTGAACCTCCACCTGAGACAGAGCGGACCAGAATTCACGCGTGGGAGCTGCAGCCTGCTGGGTTGTCAAGCTCTTAAAGCCCAGAGCTGAAGCCCCAGCCGCTACTGCCATTGCTATGCAGGACAGGGTTTGCAGGAACCTTTATTCCAGCGCTGGGGTAGCAGCACACTCGCCCAAGCCCGCTCCTCTTCGCTTCAGGCCCTTCCGCCCGTCCCGCCCCCGCTATGACGCCATCGCCGCGCGCCGGCACTGCCCCTTCCCGCCCGCTAGCGTCACTCTCGCGCGACGGGCGCGGAGCGGCGGCGGCTGCGAAGATGTGAGTGCGGGGCGGGGGCTGCGCCATCCGCGTCCATCCGGCCAGGCCGCGGCCCGACCGGCCCCTCCGCCGCGCGGGGCGCCGAGGGGAGCACGCTGGGGCCGCCGAGAGGCGATGGTGGCGCGAGGGTCAGGGAAGGGGCCTCGGAGCCGCGGCCTCCCGTGGCCGGAGGCGGGGAGGGCAGGGGAGGGAGGGCCGGGGCGGGGCCGGCCGGAGAACTGGGCCCGGGTGTCGGCGCCGCCGCGGCCCGGCCTGCGGGAGGAGCGTTGTGCGGGCCCGAGGGACGGGTTGCTGTGCTGATCTCGCGGCTCCCTGCCCCACTGCTATACCGGACCCACGGCGTGCGGATCTGGCTGCCCGCGCTTCGCCGGCCGCGGAGCTGGGCCTAGCGGCCGTAGAGGGCAGACAGGTGCCAGGCGCCGAACCCTCCACACACCAGGAATTCTGTCGGTTTGCAGCTGAAGACCTGGAGCAAACTGTCAGTAAAGGACTCGCCTATAGCTTTACGGGAAGCCTGAGGGCGAGCGAGTTTGCTTCCTTTACCACAGAACTGCTGCTCTGAGTGTGTAAATTTTGTCTCTAAAGCAGAAGCGTGTGTGAGATGGACGTTTGGTTTGTGTCGATTGCTCTTTAGACTTTGTGGTTTTGGGTGGATGTCCCTAAACCAGCTTTTTTTAGCGAGTGAGAGGTTTTTGATTGTAAAGAAGAAGCATGTCGCTTAGAAATGCAATGTTGTTTAGCCTTGTGTGAGGACTGTGATTTATTTTTTCCACGTTTTCCAGTGAATGCCTGAACACGTGAAAATGCCCACAAGGTAGGGTGAGGTTTCCAACTAAAGTGAGTTTGGCCAGTGGCATTCCTGAGAAACGATTAAAACCACTAGTTAGTTTGGAGACTGCTTATTCGGTGCATCATTTGCTGAATGTTCCAAAGCCGTGTGGCTGATCTGCCTGGTAGGTGCCTGTCCCAAGGAGCAGTAAGCAGTGAAACCTGAAAGGAGATTGTATCCAGGTGGGGAGTCAGGCTCTTCTCCCAGGAAATGGGCAACAGCACAAGAGGACACAGACTTAAGATGCACTGGGGAGGTTTAGATCAGTTAAGGAAGAATGTCTTCACAGAAAGTGCAATTGGGCCCCTGGAAGGGGATGCCCAGGGAGGTTGTGGAGTCACCATCCCTGGAGGTGTTTATAGGAAGTGCTGCATCCAGTCTTAGTGCTCTGGTCTAGTTGACATGGTGGTGTTGGGTCAGAAGATGGACTTGATGGTCTCAGAGGTCTGTTCCAATGTAATTGATTATGTGATTCTATTTCCTGCCTCAGCAGCAGGCTGGGTAACAGCAAACATGCTGGTCTTTATCTGTGTTTCCTCTTCTCTTCTCCCAGAAGGGGTAAAACCAGATCTGACTCTTGAGTACTAACAGTTTTGTATGCTGATAACATCATGAGTTTGATAGTCCACAGGTGCCGGAGGAGCTGATGTGTAGGCAGACATAAGCCAGACCTGGCTATGGGATATTTAGAAGAAGAAAAATGGGCTCTGGGGTGACCTAATTGCAGCCTTCCAGCACCTGAAGTGAACCTGTAAGAAAGATGGAGAGAGACATTTTACAAGGGCCTGGAGTGCCAGGAGAAGGGGGAATGGCTTCCCACTGACAGAGGGCAGGTTTATATTAGAGATTAGATACCCTGTGAGGGTAGTGAGGTCCTTGCCCAGGATGCCCAGAGAAGCCCCCATCTCTTGAAGTGTTCAACGCCAGGTTGGAGCAACCTGGTGTAGCGGAAGGCCATAGCTGGGGCATTGGGAAGTGATGAGTTTGAAGGTTCACACCATCCCAAACCAGTCAGTGATTCTGTGATTTTATGAAAGGAAAATCTTAGGTTTTCTGGTCTTGTGAAACCAGGAACCTGTCTGTTCTGTACCACCCAGCTGGGCTCATGCAGTAGCTTTATGAACTGCATCCGCCTCAGACCTTGCACTGGAGAGGCACAGAGCTGGATAGAAATGTCCTAAAGCTGAGTGACATACACGGGTTTGCTTATCTTGGCTCCCTTTGCAATGCCCGTGGGACAGTCTGCTTTCTTCCTGCCACTGGTGCTAGAGGAGACATTTCCTTTCCCAGCAACTTCCGCCAGTAGCACATCTGTGGTGTGGGTTTCCTGTCCTCCATGCAGAAAGGCCACGGGTCTTTCTTGGTTTCTGCAGGGAGCTGGGTTTGTGAATATTCATTTGTGTTGTTTCCTGCAGTTGGTGTATTAGGGAAAACTGTGAAACTGAAAATCAGGAAAGCAAATTTGGCTGTTCAAAAGTAATCTCTTTCCAGCCATACATTTAATTGCAATTCAGAGAATAAAGTAATTGCTTACCAGAAGCACAGAAGCAAAACCAGTGTTGGATGCTGTGAGCTGTTGAAGTTTTTTTCTTGTTCGCTCAGTTTGCCTGTGATGCATGTGGGGATGGAGATGTTTCCAGCATCTTGCATTGCAGTGTGTGTTTGGTGCCGCTACAGATAAGGCTGGCAGCTCCAACACACTTCTATTCATTCCCTGAACATTTAATTCCTTGGTAGTTGAAGGTGTCATATTCCTTTAGAGGTTATTAAAATATTAGAGGCAGGTCTGTAATGCTGATTTCAAACAATCTCCATAGAATAATCAAAATGTTACATGTTTATAGATGTTGCAGATTTTGTGATTGGACGCAGCCCTCATATAGTAAACATCTGGAAGTCAAATAATGCCCAGCATTTCAGTGCTAAATAGAGAGGTGTTAAATCTGTCTCCTTTTTGATCGAGAGCAAAGAGAGAACTGGTT